TCACTTAAGTCCTCTTTGACTATGATTTTGACAATTCAACCCTTGACTTTGACTAATTAAAATGGGTTTGTAACATAATCTCCTTCTTCCATACCGGGCTGGCCATTTTGAGGTAGCCTGGCAGCCGTGAGCTTTTATCATTTTATTATTATTATTTTGGCATAAGATTTCAACTTTTCTTTTATATGCATGCCAGATTATTAGAAATGAAAATGGCCAAAGAAGATTAGGTAATATATAAATACTAGAGACTAGAGAAAAAGTGCTAATGGCAGTATTATAGTAACTGTGTGGAGGAAGTTCATTATACAGATTTCAAAGTTAAGTTTCAATAGTGTTTGACACCCATTTTTGAGAAAGAATAAATTCTAGAATAGCGATTGATGGAAGAATATGTGATTAAAAAGTAAGCATAATTTTTTGGTTTATATGTAATATTATTTTATTGATAGAATGTGTGGTTGAAATGAAGAAAGAGAAAAAAATGAGAAAGAAAATGGGAAGAAAATGGGCGTAAGACAGGTACGTGTTCAACGGGCTGCTTATGGGATTGATGTAAATGGCAATAAAAGATTAATTTGTTTTGTCTGTAGGTGACCAAGTTCTGGCAAGGTTTAAACTCCATTGAAGAAGTTCAGCATAATTTGATTGCTCCAAGTGTGCTTGAATTACTGCACCAAGGAATTGGTTTAAACACTACTCAACCCCCTTCAAGGTCTTCAATATCATCTCCTACAAATTCAACTGAGAAGGCAATTTTTGAGTGGGCTGTTAAGCAGTTAGGGATGGATGTGGAAAGTCTGAAACAAAGCTGCACAATTCTTGAAATTGAACCCTTCAATTCGAAGAATAGGCAAAGCGGGGTTTTGATCAGTAAAAATGGAGACAATACAATTCACGTACATAGAAAGGGAGCTCCAGAAGTGATAATTCCAATGTGTTCTCATTACTATGAGAGTACTGGAATTGTGAAAGTGATGAACAAAGGTTCCAAAGCTTTATTTGAGCAAATTCTTGAAGGCATGGCAGAAAATGGCCTCAGATGTATAGCTTTCGCTCACAGGAAAACATCAATAAGAGATTATTTCACTTTCTCTCGACAACAACTGATTCTATTAGGCCTTGTCGGATTGACAAATTCGCGTCGAAGTGGGACAAGACGAACAGTGGAAGATTGTCGTAGAGCTGGAATCAACGTCAAATTGATCACTGGAGATAGCAAAGTAACTGCCAGAATCATGGCCACTAAATGTGGAATAATTGAGCCTGATTACCAGCCTGGTGAAGTAATAGATGGTGAGGAATTCCAGAAGTTTAGCTCAGAAGAGCGAATGGCAAAAATTGAAAATATCTGCGTTCTGGCAAGAGCCACTCCTGATGACAAGTTACTTATGGTCCAATCTTTGAAGCAGAAGGGCCATGTGGTTGCATTCATTGGACGTGGCATTGGAGATGCACAGGCCCTCAGAGAAGCAAATGTAGGACTTTGTTTTGGAACCCAAGGGGCAGAAATTGTTAAAGCTTGCTCTGCCATTGTCATGTCATACAAAGATTTTCCTTTGATCACTGATATTTTGAGATGGGGCAGGGGAATATATGACTGTGTCCAGATTTATACTCAGTTTTTGCTTAGTGCAACTGTCGTTGCTCTGGTAATTGACTTTGTGATGTCAGTTTCATCTAGTGAACCCCCTGGTTTGGATGCTGTGGTAGCTGTTTCAACAGGAAAAATTCCATTTCCAGTGTTTCAACTTTTGTGGATGAAACTGATCGGAGGTACTTTAGCAGTTCTTGCACTCATTATAGAGAAACCGTCTCAAGATGTTATGCAGAGGCCACCGAAAAACTTGAAAGAGCCACTAATGACAGCCAAAATGCGTAACAAAATTTGGGCTCAAGCATTATATCAGATAGCCATCTTTCTGGTTATACATTTCAAAGGCAAATCACTATTCAATGTAAATGCTAAGGAAAAGGACACTTTGGTCCTCAGTACATACATTCTCTGTCAAGCCTTCAACATATTCACTACCAGGCTTTCGGAGAAGAACATTTTTGAGGAGATGCAAAAGAAAAGACTTTTCTTGAGCATCATCGGACTAATTATTTCCGTTCAGTTTATAATGGTGGAACTTCTGAGTGGGTTTTCAGGGACAGCCAGGCTAGGATTTGGCCAATGGGGCTTGTGTATAGCCTTTTCCGCTGCATCTTCTATGGTCACTTGGTTTGTTAGGTGCATGCCTCCTCTGGGAAACTTGAAGTTGTCAATGTTCAAGCCTAAGATCGATTAATCCAACGCTCTATCTTTCATTATTCTCTAGTCAGAATACAGAATCTGTAGATTGCTTCGGAATCTGTTCGTTGTTTTCTGTTTTCACTCATTGCTCTATGGAACCTTATGTGGCCAATGTTGAAGTGTAACATGGATTACTTGAATTTCACTATCTTTCATAATTCTCTATTCTTACGTTTGTCGCGCAGCAAAAACGTAAATTGCAAAATGTAAAATCAATAGAAAAATAACACCAAGATATATTCACTCCAATTAATTGTTGCCCGGATTTCAACAATTTCTAGGTTATGTTTCGGTTGGAGTTGTAAGTGTTATACCATAGGTCCAATTAATTTTGGACATAAACTCTTTTAATACATAACTGATGCAATTTTATGATAGATATATTATCCAATTAATATTCAATTAAATTAAATAATATAGTCCGTAAATTCAAATCTTAGTAATTTGTTAATCGCAGGGAGGTGTGATTATGAAATGCAAATTAANTTTGCTTTCCTTTTAAAGAAAGAGCATTGCACTTGTTAACTCATTGCTTCACTCCTGCACCTTTTTTTACTCGAGTTATTAAGGGTGTGTTTGACACCCATTTTGGTGAAGAATAAATTTTGGAATAGTGATTGATGGGAAGAATGTGTGGTTGAAAAATAAGAAATTTTTTTTGGGTTTATGTGTAATATTATTTTATTGATAGAATGTGTGGTTGAAATGAAGAAAGAGAAAAAAATGAGAAAGAGAATGGGAAAATAATGGGTGTCAAACGGGGGCTAAATATGACTGAATCTTAAATCATCCATGGTCGTAAATAATAATGAGATATGACTCACAAGTTAAAATGTAGTGATACTTAAATGAACATGTAGATATTTTATTATAGAACAAAACATTGGAGATCTGCTAAGGAGATTACACGTGGATAAATATTTGAGTGTCAGTGATTAATCTCTAACGTTCTATAGTGGAATTGGTGGTCATTCGACTTGAGGTCATCACATTGTCTTGTATGAGAACAATCATATTTTGGTGATGTTGTTCTACCAAGGGTTGTTAATACGGCATCGTTCAAGTATGTCAAAAATCATATAAATATTTTGAATGATCAATCACTCTTAGATAGTAAGAAATTATGATTTACATTTCATCCAATTAAGTCGATAACGAAATCATTGTTCAATGTGTACTCATAAGTCTAAAAGGAGTTTTTTACATACATCTATATCTCATAATTGATTGGATCATATTAACGAAAGGTAGTTTCAAGGTAAACGAATAAGATTGGTTTTTAATGTCATATGACATTTTTCGTCACATGTATTGCCTGACACATTGTTAGATATCAATTTGGAACGATAATTGTGAATTGGTGATAAATTAATAATGGGTATTTTAATTTATTGATTTTGATTAAATGAAATTAATAATTCATGTAGTTAGATATCGTGATCAAGAACATAATGAGTCACACATAAAAAGAAAATAAGAAGAATGAGATTTACCAATTAATTAATTCGGTTGTTTCTTAATAGGCCGAATTCGTTAATTAGATTAATTAAATATTGGATCGGGTTAGGTTTAATAGGCATTGGATTTATATTAATAAATTATTAGGGTTTTAGAAAAATTGAATAGAACACACAATTGATTATCTTGCTAGTAAAAGAAAATAGAAAGTATAACTCTCTCAATCTTGTTTCATGTGTGGATTTTCATTGGATGCTGAACAATTGGAAGGTTGGGGATTGCAGATCAGTACAGTTCTTCAAAGAATTCATCAAAGGTATAACTTTCCATTACAGTTTCTATCTAAACACAAAGCAGATCCTTAGTGGAAATTGAAATCGGATTTATTTTCCACTGTTCATGTTTAACTAAATTTTCATTAGTGGTATCAGAGCATACTTTGTGTTAGAAATTGTTTTAAACCTTTGGGAACAATCAATGGTTGATTGTTTATTTTTTATGTTTCTAACTTTTAAAGAAAATTATTTTCATCTTCTAAAATCTGTTTTTGTATAGAAAATAAATTTTTTGGTCAAAAATTGGCCAGAAGGTAGCTACAGGCGGTGACGGTGATTGGCAGCAGCAACCACCGCTGGACGAGGAGACAGCACATGCAACTTAAGGTGGGACGCCACTCGCACCATGCAGCTCTCTACAGTCATGCACTGAGCTATGCTTCCAACGATCGTCGCCCAGTTGCCACTGCAGTAACGGCTTTAATGGCCACTGCAACATGGCGCTGCTACAAAAGGGACTTTTGTTACTTGAGGGATGGCTCCCATCGACGCCACTCCCTAATTTCTTCTTTCGAATCAACTTTAGGGACGGGGGCCTTATATGAAATTTGTGAAACTTCAGGCCACTGTTACATTTATCATATAGGGTTCAGATTGCAATCTTTTAAAGGAGGGCTTATTCCGCAATTTATGAAATTTGAAGGGTCTGTTTGTAATTTTAAACTATGGGTCAATTTGCAATTAAATGAAGATTACACACACACACACACTAATATATTCTTGAAATTAGAATTAAACTCTAAGTTGACATTTAATTAGAATTAGATTTTAATTAAATTGGATGGCCGTAAAATTTTTCTTTGAATTAGAGTTGAAATTTAATTTGGTGTTTAATTAAAATTTGATTTAATTATATAATTTTGCCCCAATATCTTGAAATTAGACTTGGACTCTAAATTGGTGTTTGATTAAATTTTGATTTTAATTAAATAAATTTTCTCTATAATTGTGGAATTAGAGTTGGATTCTAATTCGGTATTTAATTAAAATTTGATTTGAATTAAATAAACCCGCTAAATTAAATTAATTGATTAATTTGATTCATTAATTATTTAATTGTTCCGATCAATTTGTCTAAATTAGTTTAGACGATCTTAATTGTTAGAAACTTGAAACATATATGCATATAATATTAGATATTATATAAATATACATTTATATGATTAATATTTTACTAGTGAATGATTATGGACTTGACCATATGTATGTGTTGAATGGTTATTTTTATTCTTGTTGTTTTATGGGGCCTGCGAGCTCTAATTTATTTTGTACCTGCG